CTTTCACAACAATTTCTCAAACAGGTGCTCCTTACGATCAAAACCTCGTCGAGCAAATATTTACGAATTCACGTGTATATAGTTTACGTCACCGATCATGTATCTCGTGTGTGTCTTGCTACCGCGTGTGGACGAGGCAACTCTTTCACCCCGTTGAAACAAAACAGCCATCGGTGAAATCGTGTAGGTGCGATCTATAATATACAACAAAACGAATTACTCGATCCTTTCGTACACGTCATATCGGATTCGCTGTAGAAACGTTCTGCGTGTATAATTAACGTTGTGGTGCTGTCCATTAACTCTTGGTAAATCAATAATACATCCTTTCGCCAAAACAAAAATCTTTCGCCCATTACGTTAAATTATTAAAATTATCCGTGACTGTTACTCGCCTCGAGTCGCTTATTTTGCGATATTTTTAATGAATACTTGAACGCACCCTAAGGGGTATATACGGAGTCCTAAATTTCGCAAGTGCTCGGCAAACATTTGCTTCATGATAATAATAATATTGTTAACACAATATTTTAAAATGTATCGTATCGTGAAAAAATGTACGCGTTGGTACTTCGAATAAAATTAACAAATTAAAAATTTCATTGCGTTTGATGTAAAAAGTATCAAAATTTTCACGATTTACCGACATGCATTGTAATCGTGTAATCTGTAATATTATTTTGCGAGTCGTTAATTTAATTACTTTTGGCACGTGTATTCAATTTTTTCACTTAGTCCCAAGTAAATATGCGTGATTCATTGATAACGTACACCGTGTTTTATTAAAAGGAGACCTCGATTTCACCAATATTTCATTCGATCCCGAGTGGCTTTATGTAATAATAGTTTATTGTGGGGACGAAGAGCTCATTTTTCGAATGAAATATCGGTGTCGTCTAATCCCCGCGATCGGTATCTTTTTTCGGTAAAAGTCCGAAAGTTACGCAATCGATGACATCCGAGCTCCCCCACTAGTTGAATTATTCGATCGAGCTCGCGGGCATTATACTCGAAAGGTGCTTCATACAACAATATCGGCACTCCATGAGGAAAGGGTCCATCGATTCGCTCTCTCTACTCCGATTATACATGCGAGCGATGGTAATCTGCTCTCGACTGTGGCTTGAAAAGGAAAAAAAGCCCCTCGTCCGCAAAAACCTTTTTTGTCAACTCAACCACGAATTCTCTGGCGATTTTTTCCCTTCCCGGAATGCCCTGCACTGGTCGCTACTTTTCTTTTTAACGCACCACGAATCGCGTTGCGAGAAAAAAATACTGCAACCGTTTAGCGATGGGTCAAAATAAAAATCCAAAAAAATTGTTTACCAGGCCCTTTTCGCTGCTTCGGCGGCCGCGGCTAGTCTCAAGGTGAAGCGCGACATCCTGCCCGGCGACTCGCGCTACGGTACCCCGTACCACCTGGAGCATCACCACGCCCACTCGGGGGAGGCCTTCAACAACTACCTACCCCCGGTTGTGCGACACGTGGAGAACGACGGCTTCGTTCCACCCTCCACCTCATACGGCGTGCCATTCAAGACCTTGTCGGCCCCGGTGAGTACTAATTTGTCACGAGTAATACAGCTATTACTCATTGTTACCATTGAAAGGCATAAACAGTTGTTCTTGTCTTTCAATCGAGGAAAAAGAAAAAAAAAAAAAAAATCAAATAATGACAATTGTCAATGTATTTTTTTACAACAGGTACATCCAATCGGTGATCATCACGTACATGTACCCGCTCTTCCATCAGTCCCACTACCCCACAAGGTGTACGGGGCTCCTGAACAATACTATCCGATCGCGCCATCGTTGCCAGCACCAATTCCCGTCCCCCAGAAAATAAGCCCAGACCTGCATCCCATTGTTCCTCTGCCGATCCAAAAACACGAGACCCACGGATACGAATACCAGTCGACCCAAGGATACTTGGCCCCATCTCCCCAACCTCAGTCAACTTACATCCAACCCCAACCAACTTACGTCCAACCTCAGATAACTTACGGCCAACCTGAAGCAACTTACGTCCAGCCCCAGCCAACCTACGTCCAACCATCTTTCCCCCAACAGCAGTACGGCACACCTCAGTTCTCTCCAGTCCAGCGTCAGGCCGAGCATTTCCAGCATTACGCGCCATCTCTGCCCTCTCCGGTCCAGCATCACGTCCCCCAACAGTACGGCTCACCTCAAATCCAACACGAGAAGCTCGTCTTCGACCACCCAGTCAAGTCCATCGAAGTGGCCCATGAGACAACCTCGGAGGTGGTCAACGCCGTAGACACCGTCAGCGTCGACGCTGCAGTCAAGACCGGCCCCGTCCAAGCCACCGGCTCCAACGGTGGTTACGTCTACTAAGCTATTGCACCACACTGCTCTATTGGCCGTTTACGATGGCCAATTAGATCGGTACTTTATCGTGTGACAAGTACCTGTACATAATACAATATACTTCCTGACGCTGCACTCCGCGCACGGCTACCAGTTAGCCCAACAATGGTGGATTTAATACTCACGAGTGCGGTGCGCAATACAAAAATACCGAGAAAGTCACGGCATCATCACAGCTCTCTTACGCCAACGTTCGGACAGTGTCATTGTGTGCATGTGTATGTTTTTTTTTTTTTTTTTTTTTTTTTTTTTTTTTTTTTTTTTTTTTTTTTNCCCCATCCCTTCTCTACATTTCGCGTATGCAACAGATAAGTACTTATAGCTTTTTTTTTTGAATATTTTACAGCCATTTTTTGAGAACTATGCCCTATAGGCTCTGCAATGCTGTGTTACTATGCATTTACATGCTATCGTTATTGGCATAGTAAAAAACCGCCTCAGATTTAATTGTGACATCAATCACTTACACAGCAAAGGGGACCTTATTTTACATAGTTTCCGAACCATTTGGCCACAGTTGGTAATACGCCCCCCTTATACGTACTATATGGACCGTAAAATATTGTAATTCCATATACTCACCCCGTCGCAGGTGACGCGTTTCGCAACTGCGGCAACTTCGGCTCGGGTGGGTACATACAGATGTGGCGATAGTAAAGGCACATTTGGCGGCTGCAAAAAGTTCGCTTTGAACGAGGCGTGCAAGTGCACTCGGACTGATTTGGAGACGTAAAAAAACGCCAAACTGGCTATGCCTACTTTATTACTCGTGTGTATATATACACATAACACTCACTTCGAGCCGATTCCTCAATCATTCATTTTGCCGCACTGCATTCTTAGGATCCAATTTTTTTTTTCCACCAATCAGTAGATATTTTGATTATTTATTTATATGCGTATATTTTTTTCTGCAATCGTCAACTCTCAAAAATTATATTTATTGAGATCAAACTAATCGTAGCCTACGTAGGAAGTGCGAGTTTACTTCATCACGTATATTTATGTATCACATCTGTATGAGGGAAGCTGATGAAAAATGTACCGACGATTAATTACTTTACATTCTGCCGGGCCGGTACGAGTGTAGGCGGACAACTGACAGCTGATTAATTAGTAAAGTATAAAAAAGTTCAACCAGGTATAGTATACATAGGTACAAAGTGGGGAGGGCAAGGGTGGAAAACTTTAGTTGTTGTGTATGAAGAAAAAAAAAAAAAAAAAAAAAGGAAGCACCGGCGGTGCGTGGTTTCTTTTTAACTCACGAAATATACGACCGGACCTGGCCATGCAGTGTTTGAACGGTACGTTACCCGGGGTTACCCATCAAATTGATCGCAATAAGACTCGAGTGTGCACGTATAGTATATCTATGTATGTACATTAGCCACCGCACACCCCCCACGGCGTGCAGGGACAACTGTCGGGTTTTCAAGCTTTTGAGAGCTTCTTTTCCCTGTCCCTGTATACGTAATGTGGCGCGAGTCCCACGTGCGTTGAAGCATCGATTGTTCGCGCCACATCACTGCCACCTCGTGCCTACTCCTTTAGGCTTTTGTTGAAGCGTTTGAATAGCACATACATGTACTTATGCAAATTTTTACAGGGAGAGTATCAAAAAAATCATGCAAAAGGTGTACACCGAGTAATTATCATCTCGATCGTCAGTTTTACCCCGAGTAGGTATATCCATCCTTACTAAAGATATATGTACGTCTTTCGATTTTCTTTGTTGCTTTGAAGTAGCTAGAGTGTAAAATTTCACGGTACGACACCTTTATTTGTACTTACCTTGTTTTCTATATTTAATGCAGTTTATTCGACAAGCCTTGCGAACGATCTTTCGAAAGAAAGCAAAAACGCTTGCAGAAAAGTATTAAGTTTAGTGAAAATAAAACAAAGAATCGTACCAGGCACTTTTCATACCCTTTTTCCGTGCTTGCATACTGGAATATAGCTTGAAAATGACAAACTTTTCAATTTTGGAAGGGTAAAATATCTCTAGGTCTTTTATATCTCAGTGGACAATATTTTTTATTATTGTTCCTTTCGAATCCCATAGTTTTTGAGTAAAAATTTTAACGAATGTCGGAAAATTCGATGGTTATTAATTTATAACTCAATAAACATTTTTTCTGATTGTGGAACAAAAAATGTGCAAAAACTTGAAAAAAGTTCAAAAAACGTACCCATCACCCTATGTTGTTTCGTAGTTATGATTTTCTCATTTAGCCCAATCAATTTTCTTTACCCCAAAGAGGTTTCAAGACATTTTATGGGCCTCCTAACCCGAGTTATCTTGAGAAATCGCAAAAAAAAGTATCATCTAAAGTTTCATGTAAAAAAAAAAAAAAATACCGTTTGTCCCGATATTAAGAAATGACTTCTCCTGATTTAACGCGAAGTTAAAGAAAAAAAAGAAAAAAAATGATATACTATTCGAATGTAGGTATAATTATAGAGTAAAACAAAAAATAGTAAAATACCTTTAAGTACTTTTGTCAATGTGTCCTCTCAGGCGTCCTCGTACAACAATCGTGTATACGTACATATTATATAACGTACGGAGATGTTGATCATCGAAGCATATATATATATATATATATATATTTTCACCACAGGTGACATTTGTCGACCGGATTCATGGGAGAACCTTTGGAGCACTTCCATGCCTTGCTGAAGTGCTCCGAGTTTCTCAGTACCATTTTTAACCTCACGTGGCCCGGACAGTGAGAATCTCGCAACATCCAGCGCAGAGCGACCGTCGAGAACGACTCGCACCACATCTGTAAGCCAATTTAAAAACTTGGAAAAATTGTTTAGGCGCTAAAATGTAGTAATTTAACGTTATCGCTCACGTGCGCGTAGCCCATAAAAAGTAGCTGCTCGTGAGTATAATCGCTGAACCCTGGAAGGAGTGCTTCAGGTTTGTGCTTGGACTTCCAGACTTGGTAGGCGTCGTATGCTTGTCTCAAGCCACCGTTGTCGGCTATGTTTTCGCCCAAAGTCAACTCACCGTCAATGTACTCGTCGATCTGAAACAAAACGTGCAATCACTCACAGTTATATTAAGTATATTCCCTAATTTCCTTCTATAAATACTCGTGTGATATTACCTCTGGAACGTAGTACGCGCTGTACTTATCGATGAAACAAGTAGTCTTGTCTGCGTAATTCATGATAGTTTCGTTGCTCCACCACTGCTTCATGTTTCCTTTGCTATCGAACTTCCTGCCGCTGTTGTCAAACCCGTGGGTCAACTCGTGTCCCAAAATCGTTCCAATGGCCCCGTAATTCAAAGCTCTGTGGTGACAAAAAACACATTACCATCAACATACCAAAGTCACGTTTAATCTTTCATTACATAGTAAATCATAGACAAGTTTATGCGTGTATACATCATCTCATAGTGTGCATTATCATTGTCGTTCACTCAACACCTACAATAAAGCCGTACTGCGTTACTACTTACTCGAGACCTAATCCATAAAAGGGAAACTGAAGGATTCCAAAGGGTATCACTGTATGTTCAGACAGTTAAAATCAGGTCAGATTCATGTTAGTTATTTTTATTAGTCACTGGTGTGGCTCAAAGATTTTTGTGTCTCTATTCACGTAATGTTAGTAAAACAAATAATTTTGGCCCTCCCGTGGATCCTTCGATAATTACCTATTTGATTTTCCTGAAAGTTATGCAAGGCGTTGACCTCCGTGGGCTCGACGCGCCATCTGAAAAATACAAAATATAAGGTATCTTGGTATCTGCGCGGACGAAGCTTACGATGTTTATTCCACGTACATGGGCTCGTTACTATCCGACTTGTTGGTCAAGGAGCACAGCTCGTAGTAATTGACGATGCGGATTATTTGCACCATGTTCTCAAAGTATCTCGTCGTTGACATGTTCATCTGCAATTATTTTCAGTTACCCCGAGGACTCGAGTGAAATTTTTTGCATTTCCCGTAAACAAAGAAAAAATAATAACAACTTACTCCTCGGTAATAGTCGTTAAGTAAAATTTCTTCGAAAAGCCATTCGGGATAGGCAATGAGGGACCTCATGTTTCTATTTTTTTCCATAGTTGCCTGTTTCGTCCTCTTGTCCATCCAGTCGACGTTCGAGACATGTTTCGAGAAGGACGTTTTTATGTTTTTCAACATTTCGTAAACTTGGTTGCTGGATCCGTCCTTCAAAAACATCGGATTCACGTATAGCCAGGCAACAGCCATACCTGCACAACGTGGTTTTATCAAAAGTTCAATACACCTTTTTACGCGTTTGTCTCGCGCGAGATTAAAAAATCGTACCCATCAAATCGTTGACATTTTCGGCACAAAAAGTCGACCACGAGCGCTCCGACGAACCGGTCAACTCGTTTACGTACGAATGCCAGATTTTTCTCAACTCCTTCGAGGAGTAAGGCACGCAATGATCCACCACAATCCACCAAATAGCTGTTTCTGTTGAATAAAATCATATTTGTGAAAAAAAAGCGCGAAATCGCATCGTTTCACCTTAGATAATTAGATACACGTCACCTAACAGATTGTCCTCGGTCTCGGCTAGTATGACTGATATTTGTTTGAAGTACTCCAAGTTGGTCACCAAAACCTTTTCAGTTTCGAGATCAAATTCGTCAATGATTTTCAAAAATTCCTCGAAAAATGGTTTCCAAACAATTTTCGGCTCGAGACTTTCGTTAACCGATTTGACGTACAAGTCGGTTTCAAGCTGCAAATCGTCGAGCAGCATGTAATTGTCGTCTCCAATGTCCTGCATGTCTTCCGTCTTGTTCTGATAGCTCTTCGATATCTAAAAACGGTTGTTTATCGCTCAAGTGAAAGTAAAAAAAGAGAAATTACAACTAACGTGTTTATATTTTACCACATAAAATTGTCCGCTCAGATCAAAGAGTTTATCCACAGTTTGGTCGATCTCCTCTTCGGGTACCAACATAAATGGTCCTCTCGACTTGCACGACGGCTCGTCGGTCGTACCGTTGCTTATCATTTGCTTCATTATCTCGGACATGTAAATTTTCTCGGCTAACGAAAAATTCGCCGATTCCTCATCCACTTCGTCGACAAACATGTCTCGCGCTCTCTCTCTTACTTTTTTCAGCCTCTTTTCCAATATTTTTTCGCTGCGCACACAAATGTAGTTGAAAAAAAAAAAAAAGAAAAAAAAAGTCACGAATCGTACAAAGTTTGCAAAATGTACCTACCTTGGAAATGGGTTCTGTCGATTTGGAAGGTCAAGCACAAGTGTGTTTCTGCTGCTGTTTTTTGGATCGGCAGCGACGTACACGCCGAAGAATATGTCCGCCCAGAGGATCCGTTTCGTCATTGCGAGTTGCTTCACGAAATCGGTCGTGTTCTTTGTCAGCGACGAAGGGATTTTCGGCAGGCCAATGTCGTTCAGGAGATCGAACAATGGCTCGAGTCCCAATTCATCTCGAGACTCTGCCGATTTTTTCCCAAAATTTGTAAAATGAAACATTTTACGAGAAGCGTCAATATTCAAAAAGTGTTATTTAAATTGAAGACTTATTCCAAGTTTTCTTACAGCTCAATATTATATTTTAAAAAGTTTTATACTATTTGCGGATTTTAATCTGAAACTAACTAACTAACAAGTCATTATGACAGTAAATGTCAAATTAATAAAATAAAATCATTACTACACACTAAAAAACAATTCATCGGCCATTTTACAACGATTTTCGACATTTGAAGAGAAAAAGAAAAAATTTCAAAAATATGTTTCAATAAGATCTATAAGTTTTGTTAAAACAAATATCAAAATGATTTTTCGTCTATTTTAATTCAATTTTCTTGTTTAAAGTGTTAGAACAATATGGACGAAAACGGTCAGTAAAAAAGTGTATTTTTATAAGATCTACAAATGTTGTATACAACATTTTGTCTATAAATGTAATTTTTTCCCTTTTTTGTGGTGTTTCTTTGAGATCCATAATTTTCTTGTTGAACGCAAACGCGTTAAAAGTTATAGATGAAAAACTATATTTTCTTCTTCGGAGAAATGAAGTCAAAGTGTCCGGGGTTTTGTTCTCATAATTCGCACCATCAGTTTGGATTTAGAAGGTCTAAAAATTGGTCTAAAAAATGTAAGCTCGATCGAATAACGATTACTTGAAGTAATGAAAAAGCTTGATCGCGTACATATGTCCACCCATACATACATCAAAATATACCCTCTCATAGGCTTCAAAATTGGTTTTTCGTCGCAAATACTTAAATGATTCACGAGAGGTTACGCTTTTTACCCCGATAAAATTATAAAGGCAGGCTTCGGTCGA